CGCTCAGCACCAGTCATGGCCTGAGGATAACTCCTCCAGCTCAATTTCCAAAGTTCTCCCCTCATAGAGAAGACAACAAAAAGGATTTTTCATTCTGGGAGCTATTGGGTATACCGTTTGTTCGATATGCAAATATGGAGATGTTGCTTTGACAGCTGGCACCACTCACTCTCAGGGGATATGGTTCCAGATCAGATCCTACCCAAGTCATTCAAGTTTTCCATCACTCGTGTTAGTCACTTTTTTCGGGAGTGTGACACTCTTGAATTATGCGTCAACAAAGCCCACAACTCTGAATTAGGTCAAATGCGCATTCAAATGTCGCTACAATTCTGAGAGGAAGTCGCGTGCGTGGCGCATGTCAAAGGAATGAATGTCAATGTCAATATGAGAGCGCCATGTTCATTTATCGGTAACGTTTTCATTCTTTCTCGTGTGCTATCAGTCGATAGACATCGTTTTGAGCCCACGATCGGACGTTGTTAGATGGACAGAGTCTCGGTCTCACGGGAGCTACATTGATGGCTCTCGTTAGGTTCATCAATACCGAGGAAAACATGTCAGGGCGATTGGATTCACTTAGTAGAAAGATTTGTTATTATTAATTGTGCCTTGACCAATTTATTTCTCAGTTTTTGAGGGTGAAGTGGAACTTGATTTGATACTGGGCGCAAATTGTATGTCGCGAAATTAGGTTAGATTGTATTTTCTGAGTCTTTGGCCTCAGTTGTTGGTCCCGTACGTGTATTTATAATCCTTTGATTGGAAATCTGCTCAAATGACTCACGGAAAATCGTTTCATCCTCTAATAGCGATATTAAGTGGTCAGCCCGCATAGTTTTCGAAAAAATTCAAGTAGTGCTTGTAAAATTTGGTGCTACGCCCTTTTTTGAGTCTAGCATACTCATATGAAAAAAGGTCAGATCCCAAGCGGTGGCTTGTGAAGAAGCGGTGACATAGTACTGAGGGTTATGGGGGAGGAGGGGTTGCGGGAGAGAGTAAGTTTCTTTTGTTTTGCAAGCCTTTGATCTTACAGTGTTGTTTGGCACTTTAAACGCTTAAAAAGTGTTATTTCCTAGTAAAAACTTTCCTTTTTACGAGCGATTCACTCCAAATTATTCGGAGCTATCCGTTACAAAATGGGTTATGTGGCAGTCGTTACGAGCTACGGTGCGCTAAAGCTGCGGCTGTAAAACTGCACCCTCCCCGTGCTCTTGGGCATTCAACAACATGGGTATCGGAAAACGCATGTCAGGAGCTGGTTGTGTAGGCTAAGGAGGGTGGCAGAAACAGGAGTAGCAACACAAGTGGGCCGAGCAGTAAATATAATGGTTGGCCTCTTTTATGAAATAGTAAACGTTGCTTGAGGGCATAGAGAAGAATCGTTGTGTTGGGTAGGCCCAGGGATGAGATATTTCGAAAGCTGTAAGCTTTCAGAGTGTGCTTGACACCTAGTATTAGTTCTAGAGATGCTCGTTATTTTTTAGAGAGCGGCGGGAGTAGCAATGGTAGCATCATTCCTCCGCGGGGTTGTTGTGAATGACGCGTTTTCTGCCTAGGTTTTTTCCGGTCATTGTTCATTCGTAAGTTAGTTGTCCCGGGACAGCCCAATTTTCGAGTGTGGTTACACAAGCGCTTAACCATGTTCTCATGGTGCTTCTATCGACATCTCTTTGCTTGTTTCACTCGATTATCTTTCATACATTTTAATCCTCTCATTTACGTTTACCCTCCATTTGAGGCGTTCATCCTACATCTGTCTCGATTCGATTCATTGCTCATTTTCTGTGAATTTCCTCACAAAATTTTTAGCTATCATTTTTGCCCGTCTTACCCTCCTCACCGTCTCAGTTCCATGACCCATTTCACGTCCATTTTCATTTCTTTGATTACTAATATGCAAAATCACTAGCGCATATGAATTGCATCGGCCCCGGAAGCGTTTCTTCGTGACTATATTCCTACTTTACGATGCTTAATGGTCGCTTTTCTGTTCTCTCGCATCCTCTTCACACTCCGTTTAGTACTCACTGTATGGGCTGCCTATTCGTTCGGGAGCGGGTTTTGCTTCATCGAGTGGCCAAGGTTCCTTTACCGTTCCTGCATATGCCTCTGCTAGCAGTCTTTTTGCCTTCTTCCCTCTTTGCGTACTGCCATGTAAGTTCTTTTTCGAATCTTGCAATTTTCTTCTTATGAGAATTGCGTATTTCTTGTGCGTCCATTTGTTGTGGGAAATACAATTTTACCGGCGTTTGTAAGAGATTTTTAGCAAGGTTGGGGGTATCGGGCTAATCTTTGAATCGTAGTGAGAGCACGAACAACGGGCTTTCTGCCCCTCCTCTCCCATAGCCTTGAGTTTGGTCACCCGTTTGCTCATTTTATGTTGGGAGCTCTTATAACTTTATGTGACGGAGCGAACGCTGATGCATAGTAGCCGTGAGTTGCGCCGATGCGCACGACGGTGGCGACGAGAATTGGGAAGCGAGATCTTAGAATTCGTGGCAGTAGATCGTGTTGTCGAGGTAGTACCTAGGGGGGATTGAAAAAAAATGCGTAATGTCGCGCCATTTCGTTTGCTGTGTGGTCTTCGCCTGGTTCTGAGCCTCAGTGGCGTTGAAGACACGAATCTGAGTGGAAGTCGTTACGTGGTGCGCCTGAGGGTTCGAACCGTGGTCCGAGTGTGCGGCTAAGAAAGTATGTACTAAGGTTGCTCTGTCGAAAGAACACATGTTCCTTACAAATAGGTTTTGACTTGGCAGGAGATCGCTTTCATTGTTTCTGGCGGGTTTTTGAGCAGTTCCCTCTGATGGTATTTCTTCGCTGGTCTTTTACCGTACTCCATAACAGAATTCCTTTCGAAATCTTGCATTTTTCACTATGAACTTCTATTAGGTTGGAAGGAAAGTTCCTTAACACTTGTAGCTCAATTTTTGAATTTATTTTTTTATTCTTTATTTATTCAATGATCCATAACATATTGACCATTAGATACAACAACACTACGCCAACCTTCGGGCATTTGGGTGACACCGCAGAAATTAGAAATTAGGAAGATTTTTGCCAAACAACCTTCTGGTGTCGGATTTGCGCTCGTTTACGTACGCGAGTCGCCCTTCGCTTCCCGTTCTCCAGGTAATGAGCAAGCGAGCAGGAAAGGTTGAAGAGGTGTATAGATAGGTTTGACGAATATGGCAGACGGGCAGCCGCGGTCCTGCCTGGCTTCAGAGTCTTGTGGCTTGAGACCGAACACCCGCGACGTTGCGCGTTGTCGTGAAGCAGGTTGACTTGTCGCTATATTCGGCGAAGCTCTTCTGCAATCTTTTCGAGCAGCTAGCATTGTGAAGCCCTTGTACTCGTCAATCCTCCAGACAGATCATCACCCGTGGGAAATACCGTCAAACTTCAAAATGGGCTTACGACTAAATGTGCGTCAAGATAAGCATCAAAGTCTCGCTGCGGGAGCGTTAAACCATAGCCGAAAACCGCCACTGTTAAAAACACGCCAGGCCTATCCCGGGACTGATCCTGACCACCGCTGGTGGGCAGATCTCTCTAGGCGGAGCTCTTACAGAATGAGCGCTCGGAGTGTCTGGCGGGAAAAGTTGATTTAGTGCCATGCAAACGCCATTATTGGGAAAGCTGATTTGATCACCGTACGTAGCACGGTCCACTCCTACTATATACCACCCATGGAAGATTCCAGAGCATTCGGGAGAAATCCAGAAAGAGCGCGAATTGAGTGTTAAGGAACTTTCCTTCCAACCTAATAGTTTAATAGAGTGGTCCATTTGTTTAAAATACCTGACGGGTTTTTAAATTACCAAGTGGTATCGGTGCTTATCAAATGCTAATCATTTGAATCGAGGGACAGCCACGAAACAACGGGTTCTCCCCAAGCCAATGAGTTTTCACCGTTTCTCCATTTCAATTCTTGGAGCTTATCAACCCTAATCGTTGCGGCGACTCAACGCGTGAGCACTAGCCCAGTGCTCTCGCCACCAGCGCTACGACCGTTGCCGACAATCGAGAGTGGAGCTTACAATTCGTTTCAGACGATTGCTTGAAGTACGCTCCCATCAGCTGGAGAGAAAAAGAATGCTTAATTTGATACTCGCATCTTTGGTCTTAGCCCTAAGCTCAGTTGCGCGTTGAAAACAGGATCTAATGCAGTCGAGATACGTCGTGCATCCTGAAGGAATTTGAAACCAGCATTCATAGTGTTTCGAAATATTTCCTATATGAAACAGTACTTCATAAGTGGCCCTTCGCAAAGCAATTCCCAAAACAAATAAGTTGCTTGCATGAAGCAACCGCTCATGTCCATTCTAGGTCTTGAGCAGCTTCACCTTCTGGTGGTATTTCTTCAGCTGAAAACCCGCCTCTTCGGGATTTTCAACCTACGTATTGATGGACTGGCAAGTTGAAGCGCGGGCAGGATCGTAACGACGTTGAAGTTCTCGTTGAGCAGCGATCACCATTCTTGTGAAATGAAGATTGTTCTTAGAAATTTAATTTCAGTTGAAATACTAAATGTCATGCTCTCTATTTCGCGATTTCGGCAATAACAAACTTATATTCTTGTGATAGTCGCTGCAAAATTTGCGGTTCATCTCTGCCAACCTGCCCTTTGTCCATCAGATGTGATCACCCTACCAACCCGCTCAAGAGCGCGTCCAGAGGAAAAGAATTCTTAGTCAAATTCACATTCACAAAGCCCATAAATATTTAGGAGATTTAGTAATGTGATACTTTCGATACAGTTGTTATCAGAAACGACAATCGGACGGTGTTCACTGGCATCTCGTTCGATGCATTGGTGGTCAACTCATCGCGGCCGCTCTTATTTCGTATCGCTTTCGGAATGCCAATCGCACTGCTCACACACTCTGCTTCTTACTGCGAATCGTCGTGAGTATTTTTCCAAGTTTTTTTTTGTGGTATGGACTTGCTAATGGCACCTTGCAAATGCGTATAATTTTCAGCCCTCCATAATTTGTCTCATGCTGGTGTTCCAATGCCGTTCCATGACTCCTGAATTGATCCAACCAAGGGTATGTCCGTGCTCATGAGCATTACTTCGGACGGCAGGAACCGAAGGGCACTTCTGCAAAGACACTCACGATTGCGGTTTCGCAGAAGTGCAAGTGGCCTACGTATCCGCGTCGTGAACGCGCGCGCATTTGTCATAATATTGCCCTTTACTTCTACTATCGCGATACAATACTAAGTAATTTCTGTTTTAGTATCTCGAAGTCGCAAAGAACCTCCTCTTTGCTGGATTAATCTTTAATGCTGCACTCTTGGTTGGTTCAGGTTGGCATATAGGTAAGTGATTTGAAGTCTTGCAGTTTGAGAAAAGTATTTTTCGAAATTCCTTGCCTATTGCAAAATTCTGTTTGTTCCATAATAAATGATCCTACCATAGTCCAATTAGGAAGCTAATTCCATGCAGAAATGATATTCCTTGGCGTCGGGAATGCTCGTTAGCTTGCCCCGATCGTTGCTATGTGACCGTATTGGAAAGTTCAAAAATGGTCGGGAGGGCGTGCACAAACTACAGTTCTTAGCAAAATTATTGAAAGTCATGGTGAGGAGACGGAGCTTCTACTAAGACACCAGACTTGGGTAAGAGGACGGCCATAGGGCTGGGTATCCGAGGAATGCTGGAGATTACGTGATGCACTCCCAACATTTGCTGGGAGTTAGAAAAAAAGGGGCGAATTGTTTGTTGTGAAGGACGGAATAGAGCATGGACAATGGTCGGCGTTCATAGAATGGCTGAAGTGCAGAAAAAGCGATCTTATGCTTCGGAGGAAGCTGAAGGAAAAATGAAATAACAATCATCAGTCCCATTCTAGTCCTGGTCTATTAAACCACAGTGAGAAGTCCTCCTTACTGAATGACCCTTCCTGCATGACATTGTATCCTGGTAACGCCTATATTCGAGTACTGATGCATGGCAGATAAAGTCCTTCTCAGAAAGGAGCGCTACGCCTGCATAGAGGCGTGCGTGCCGCTTGTAGACCACCTACGCTTCTCAGGGCTTGAGTTGTAGATCAAAAATCGCGCTAATCGGACTTCATATAAGAAGGTGTTAAAGTTCATAAAGGAAGGGGTTAGGGAGAAAAATAGAGAGCCGCAAGTAGACGACAGGTGAGTTTGCGCAGAAACGCGCCTACCCAACGGGCGTGACAATTCACCAAAGAGCCCAAATTGTCCTCCAAAGACAACGCCCAAATGCAGGCATGTAATGCGCTAAGCGGGACTGGTGGTTTGAAATGGAACAACCATACGTCCCGCCTCGATTCCTCTGGGAACACTCACACGCACGCGTGCATGAACTGCTTATCGCTTATGGTCATTGGCATAATGCCAGCATCTATTGTAACTTCTTCTGAACGACCTCTATTTCTCCCACTCCCAAATCCAAGTGGTTGGGGGAAGGCCCGTTGCTCAAACTTGGCCCGTCTCATTAGTTGTTTTTTTTGCCGAAGCTCATCTGCTAGCATCTAGCTGTCCCCTCCCACTCAACGGAGCAGAGGGTCTTGGGGCGCGTGCCAAGCTTATTGACTAAACGGTCCCTTTGCTGACATAGCACATGCGAAACCACAGAACCATGTTATTATTCCTTCGAGTGACGTTCCAAAATCGCGCAAAACGAGTTACGCGGTAGTAATTAAGTACAGATTCCAGTATTTATGGGCCGTCAGTCACACGCCTTAACAGATAGACCTTGATTGCAAAAGATGGGTGAAAATGGTGTTACATCACCAGGGGCTAGCTTGGTCATCACCCGTCTATACAATACTGCAATTTAAATTCAAAGCCTTTTTTGTAAAGTTACTGAAGGCGCTCAAACTCGATTGAATTAGTACTCATGTCATACTCACTCCATTTTGCGCGAATTTTGGAACGTCAACTCGAAATGCAAAAATTTGTCACCACGAGGAATCGAACTAGGGACCCCCTTTTCTGGTATTCAGAGGGCCGTTCAGGAAAAATTGAACCATGGTTCTGTGGTTCCCGCATGTGCCCCTATATCATGCCAAAAGACCGTTAAGAAGCTTGCTTATCGTCCCTACACAAGACACTTCCCTGACCAGATCAACATATTACGATGCTGGCTGAAGGGGTTGTAGTTTTTGGCTTAGTGTGACCCTAGGTAGTGTAAAAGTGAGATAAGTGGCTGCGGAGATAATGTAAAAAGCTTTCCGCGACGAACCCCCGAAGCGAATTGAAATGGCTCGACAAAGTTCCGCTCCGGCTTTAGCTTCACCTCGAAATTTATGCCACTGTCTATGGTTTTATCTGTATGCACTGTTGTCCCTGCAGCAGACTGTTAGAGCATAGTGTCTGTAGTGGCGATGCTAATTATCGTGGAAGCTCGTCCAGGATCCAAAATCATCCTGCCGAATACTGCCCTTGTTTAGTGAACCTTGAGTCGTTTATAATAGTTTCATCTTTACCGCCTTAGCTTCCGCCTCCGCAGTCTGTCAAGATAGTGTACCTACTGCCTTCAAGTACTGTTAGATACAGTGAATCAAAGCGCCAGCGTATCTTTGCGGATGCGTTTTTCATTTCTGGATGAGCACAGCACAACAAAAATTCGGTGTTAATTGTTCCAGCATGGAGATCGCCATTCATAACATATATTTTCAGTTCGTGAGGCGATTTCAGGCACGGCGTTGCTACCAAGCTATCGAATTGGTAATTGCCTTTACCAGTTGGATGCCATTGCTTCCATATGCATTGGAATAGCTTGGCTAACGTTCCCGAAATGGCTCCTGCATAGGCAGGTAGGAATTGTTACAACGTCAAAGTCACACCTGAAATGTAAAACCTGGCCAAGTAGAGGTATGCGATTCATTCTATGCCTCGTTCTCAGGTTGTGATTCCGTTGGACGAGTCACATGAACTGTGTGGACGAATCATGGGAGCACTTTTCGTCACATCGTACGCTGTGTCGGCCCACGCACTTCACTGGACTGACTGGAACGATCGGATAGTGGCAATTGACGCACGAGTTTTCGTGAGTCCCTCCTCGAATCGAAAACGGTTTGGCTAACCAAAGTTTGGGACCGTTCTCATTGCAATTTCAGGTCTGTATGAGCATACTTACTGCTCAAGTCTGGTCACAATTTGCTTACCTCGATTCGTGGTCTGGCGGACATTGGGTCGGTATTACCTTGTTCTCTACCTGGACTGTGATCTCCATTATCTACCGCATCTCCCTTTATTGTACTATCAAGACGAAAACTCTGTGATGCTATTGAAGCTGATTTATTCCTTGTATTTTGAAATGTATTTGAGAGTTTGTTCTACATAACCTTCGTTTGAGACAGAAATATATAAAGTTTCTTTACCTCTGTTTGTGTGCCTCAAAGCACAGTTTACGTTACTTCATTGCAAAAGTCCTTGCACGTCCTTAAATCTTGTGACAGAGCTTGCAAATTCGTGGATTCGCTAGTGAATCCACGGATACGCAAGGTCTGACTACGGGCTTATTGTTAGCAAAACGCCCGATCGCGTGCGAATTCACCGATTCGCAAAGTGTACCACCCTAGGATGGAATGGAGATGGGAGTGGAGGGGAGTGGGGATTTGTTATGTATTTTTACTAGGTTGTTCCCTAGTTGACGAATCACTTGGACTGTTTTTTGATTTTGGTTTTTTCTTATTCACATACTTATCCGCAGTGCTTGCTCGTCACATAACATGTCACCATTGTCTACAGGGTGAACAGAAATTAAGGTAACAAGATGAAGCGGTCATGGAAAATCTGTACAACTAGAAAAAAGACAAGTGGAAAACAAAAACATGTTCACTGAAGGGTAATAAACGAAAAACCACATGGTCCTTCCGAGTAGCCACTATCCGCTTTGAAAAAGAAGTGAAGTTTTCAGGGAATGAGCTGACCGCGGCGTGTTGATAGACGGCCTCGAGTGCGTTCCAGGCATTATGAAGCGGTTTCTTCAATCCATAAAGTCTCCATGGTTTATGATTTATGATTTATTATCGTCTAGCCAGATACAAACAGTGTCGCACCGAAGCTCAATACAAATCACTGATAAGTAAAACGAAAACAACAAAGTAAAAGACCTTAAGAAAGGAGTGGATAGTTAGCGCGGAAGGGCAGTGGCCGCCAACACTGCAAACTCAACGAG